CTCTTTGCCGGCAGCCGGCAGACCTGCCGGGGAGCCTGTGGGGACAGTGGAGGGCTAACAGCTCTCTTTGCCGGCAGCCGGCAGACCTGCCGGGGTGCCTGTGGGGATAGTGGAGGGCTAACAGCTCTCTTTGCCGGCAGACGATCGTGTCGGATTGCTCCTTTGTGGCGTCACTGGCTATCAGCGCAGCTTACGAGCGGCGGTTTAACAAGAAGCTCATCACCAGGTAGACGGCGTCTCTGTCCCTACGTCCCTTGAGCCCTTGGGCTCTGTCTGTCTCTGTAGGAAGTGGGGATGGCAGGGCGTGCCCTCAGCACATTGCACCCCATGACGAACAGCACAGACAGGAAGAGATGGGTTAAAATAACGTGTGGATGAAAGTGTTCTCAAAGAAACAAAACTGATCAAAGTAAAAACACATCATGTAAACCACCCACAGCACTTGAAACGGGCTGGTCCAAATTGAGGGGCCCGTAGGTGGCCTAGTGGGTAAGGCGTTACGCCACCAGCCCAGGGGAGGGTGGTTCGAATCCACCAGCTGATCATCAGGAGACCGATAAGCGATCTCCTGTCCTGTGGTTTTGTTGTGGTTGTTAGAGGCCGGTCGAGAAGGACTCAGCAGCTCCGTGGACAGGAGATCTGCACCCTGTCCCACCCTGTGCCGTCCCCTCACCCTGACCACTTCCTCCCATCGCTGCAGTCACTGTGTCAGTCCGTCTAGTTGTCGGCCTCTCCTCTCCTTTGCTGACCCTCCACCCTTCCAAGCATGATAAATATCACTCCAAAAAATAGCCTCTCCTTGCAGCATGTCCAGAGTTTGAGATGATGCTTCAGCAGCCTCGCCTCCAGGAAGCGCCCTGGATGCCCCTTCCCAGGACATGTCTGCTCCTCCTCTTGGTAGTCCTTGGGCTACTTGGTGCAGTTCTCCAGCACCACAACTTCGGTCATCTTATTCACTGTCCAGCTCTCTGATGTGTAGCCAGTGAATGAAAAGACTGTAACCTGAATAAGGTAGACCTTAGTCTTCAGACTGCTATCATTACTTTTCAGTATTTTGGAATTAAAAAATATTTCCCAGTTTCTATACCAATATACGCTGAAATGGTAATCTTTTAGAAATTATTATTGAGTTAGAATATATTCAATTACTACTTTCTTCCCACTTTTGAAATGTGGCTGCTAGAAAATTTAAAAAGCAGCACGTTTTAAAGAGCCTCTGGTGGTGCAGTGACTAAGGCCACGGCTACTCTCCAGAGGTCAGCAGCTGGGGAGTCCACCCCGTAACGGTGAGCCTAGGGTTCCTGGGCGCAGTCCTCTGGTTCGTAGGTGAGCTGTGAGTCTGACCTGACTGAATGCGCAGACACCATGTTTCATTCAGCTTTTCCTGAGCGGCTTCCTGGGGAGATCCAGGAGGTGCAAAGGCACACTCCACACAGCACGTACCTTCAGCCGGCTTGACGTCCTCGATCGATGAGAGAGAGGATGCTATTCAGTATGTTCTGTTTGACTTGAAATCTGTCATTTGATAGAGTGTTTCTTCTCTCCATGGTCCTTGAGTCGGACACTCCCATGGAGTTCTGAGGCTGGAGATTGAAAGGAGGAGATTGCCCGCCCTTCTCCCGAGCAGTGGCTGTGGACTCTGCCCAAGAGCTGGCCTGGGCTTGGGGTGCAGCTCCCAGTACGGTCACCCCGGAGCACTTGCAGCCATTTATCAGGCGTTAAATGATTTAATATTGAGTGCTTTTCTGAGTATTATCCAGTGTATGTTCTACTTCTCATCTGACACTTTAGTTTTCAGTGTACAAGCACTTTAATAGGGTCAAGTGTTTTTTTTACATTTATTATAGGGAATGATTTTCAGTTTTATTTTTATAAAATTAAGAGATTAGTAGCATTTATATCTAAATAAAATCTGCTCTTCTGTATCGTAGTAGCTAACGTTGATTCTTCGGTTTTTCTTTTTCTTTCTGAAGCATCATTTATCCTCAGAATAAGGACGGTGAACCGGAGTACAACCCATGTGGGAAGTACATGGTGAGGCTTCACCTCAACGGGGTCCCTCGGAAGGTGAGGCGTGGCGCTGCTGGCTCCCTGCACCCCT